GATCTGCCATGTAAACTTTTCAATATTATTGGACGATATTGCTTTTCCATGAACTTGGAAAATAATTAGCTTTAATTGTTATCATATTTTATGTGAAGGTTGTAAACAAATTACTTAAGAGTATAACTTTTTTTTTAAACTTGCAAAACTTTTCATAAATTTTGATGATAATTTTGATTAAAAAATAATTAAAAATTTTAAGCTATTCAACTTTAAGATATGAGTCTTTTAGATGAATTTCCCCAAATATAATTTTCCAATTAGAAATGATTAAGCCTTTTTTCTGGGCTGTATATAAAAGTACAACGAGGAAATGAATGAACCACAGCTCTATAATTATCTATCAGAAGAAAGATCGTTTAAATAATAATTCTTTCTCCTCATCGTCAATTGGGTCGACCCATATGTACTTAAAATAATAATCTGGGTTTAAAGTTAAATAAGTGAAGCACATGGGGTGGCGCATCTTTTCTTGGACAGATTAATGTATTCATTATATTCTAAATTAAATTACAAAATCTCAAGTGGTGTTTTATTTAACAAAAATACTTAGAAATGGTGGGCAGTGACGCTTACCCCACATGTTATTCTAGACCTGAATTCACATCTGAGACATATGTCACATGCTATATATTGTTTAACTATGATAAATATTTATCTAACCTTCAATTCAAATTTTTATTTGTTTCCATTATTAATTGTCAAGAAAGCTAGAGGAGGTTGCTGCCGCAAATGCCTACATTTGAGGATGCAGATCTCAAGTTGTTAATATTCGCTGGATCAATAAATAATTAGAGTGAAACTTCTAAGGAAAGCGTTTTAGGATTGGGATCTTCTACACTTCAGATGATCTCAACCGTTTATTTTGTAAATAATTTAAATCTAAATATAACATAATATTTGGCTTAATAATATATTAAAACTAAATAAACCCAATATGTTATGCAACGTTGTTTGAATTTCTTGGCAGACAGTACCAACTGCATACAGATATATCGATTCACTTGATTGAAGTGACGAAGTCCGCAATGAACATGGATGGACAAGAACCAACATAATGGAAAGTGAGAGGAGACGTTGTCTGTGTATTATTTATATATGTGGGCATGTAAATGACAAATTAGAGGATTCGTTTGTTGACAATGTGGTTGATTGATGAGAAGGAAAATCAACGAGTAGGTTTGAGAAAGACAAGAAAGCGATGTAGCCCATGAGCCTGCATTTGGAAACAAGATCAATTTAGACGATTCGCTTGTTTGAGATGGACCCTCACACAGTGCTGAAAAAAACAATGAAACTTCTCTTCATTCACATAAACCATATAGTGTTGTTGACACTTCGTCCGACATTTCCTCATTTCGTAGCCTCCGATGTGGTTACTGACCATACTTGCCGGTCCATAAGCTTTCCCTAAAAGTCCTACAGATCTTATCCTCTATGTGCTAAAGTGATCGATCGATCACTTACGTCAATCACAAGACCATAAATACAACTTGTTCGACAGTTAACAGTTTTCCCTTCACATCGATCCTCATACCAGCCAACAATAATATCGGAACCTTAATTCTGCACTAAGTAAATCTACTGTTGTACATTTCTGGTATCGAAGTCCCCACAGAGACGTAGGGCCAGATTAGTTTTAATCAAACGTTTGAAAATTGTGCGTCGATGCCGAAGAAGAAAGATCAGGGAATTAATTATATATAAAGATGATGAAAAAGTCTAACTTGGAAAAAGACAGAGAGATATAACAAAACAAGAACAGAAACGGGTGTTATGGAAAGGAGGGGCTTTGTTGAAAAAGCAGTGTGAAAATATGGGCCATGCAAACTCTATAAAAGTTGAACAAAGTCAGATTCTTCACACAAAGAGGGTATGAGTGGTCTTCAATTAAGTTGCTTCCAGGCTAAGATGCTTTCAAGTGGAAACTTTACCTCATGAGGTAAACTGATTCTGTGCAGATTATACGGTTTAATTCATTAATTTATTTAAATACCGACATGTTCATATTCAAACTGTTAAAGGCTTATTAATTACATTATTAATAATCTATCTCATAAATTATGCCACGGAAGGCCGTTGACCCATTCCATCTTTACCCAGCAAATCATCATCACCACTCGTATTATTAATAGATATATATATATATATATATGGTTGGCCTCATTTTATTTCATGGGAGCCAAAAAGAATCGAACTTTTAGCCCATCGTCACATGACATCCGAGTCCATAAGTCAAGCTTTCCTCTTGATACATCCTCACCGATTTTCCGTGAAAATCTGCGAGTAACTTGTCCGTATATATAATGCCGTTTGGGGAAATATCGGTGCTTCGAGGTCACGTGCTTGGACTCAGAAAGTGACCGTTGCCATGCGATTTGACATCTTAAATAAATAAATAAAATATTGAACAACCATTGGAAGTAATATTACTTTATAGGATCGATGATCGATCTTCTCAGGGGCTGATATGCCTGAGGTTAATTTGAAGGTGAACCAGCATGTGCGTATGAGGTATATTAATTAATTTACCATAACCTACGCACCCTTTCGTTGTTTAATTTCCAGCTAATTACACATAAACTGATAAATGTTTGACCAGCCGATTGATCTGTTAGTTATGATGACTTGATCGTCGTCAAATATGATCGACGTACGGGTGATGGGAACAACCTTAAACGGGACAAAGAAGTAACGTTTTGGGACATAAATCAAAAGTAGCAGCCACTATCAAACGTTAAAATAACGTATACACAGTTGCTGGATGCGACCATGTGCATGCATCCAAATGCCTAGGAAGAGACGTTAAGAAAGATAGATAGATATATATAACAATAAAGATGGAAAATTAACTGTTACAAAAGCTTGGGTTTGTGCCGGCTTTCTAACTTAACTGTAATACATAGCATCATTGGTTGCCTTTTTCAAATCGGCGCCAAATCAGCCTCATTCACTAGTCAGAGTACTTTCTAGGATTCCCCTAATCTCAATTAGTACTTGCTTATTCAGGCATAATTTCACTTTGCATGCTTTTTCAAGACTAGGCTTTGACGATGTAGTCCAAAAGAAGCTTGGAGCTAATTAAGATCGGTGTGAGAAACTTTAATGGTGTCATTTCTTGTCTTCTGTCCTTTTTAAACTTTGTTTACTAGCTTGTGGGATCTTTAATTTTATTCCTTGTGATTTGAAGCTTTGGATCTGCCAGATTTTTGCGGTGAAATGTTCTTATGATTTTAAACTGATTAAATATTGGAAAGGAAAGTGACTCTACTACTGTGAAAATGAGGAAGAAAAATGCTGAAATTAGGGGGAAATGAGAGAAGATTAAGGAAGGCTTGAGGAGAAAGCGGTGGGCGGTGGGTATGATGACAAGTTGTAAGATGTCACAGGTGCTATTAAGTGGGGATGGTGGGAATTGGGTGGAGAAGCAGCTTCTGAAAGAAACCTTTCCTGTGAAGATATTGAAACAGAAACCTTTCATTCATTAAAAAGCCCTTTTCATTACTGTTTCTGGTGTTAGTCATTTTCATATATGGTGTGTGTGTGTTACGCATATGTATATGACTATACATAAATGTATCCACAAACACCCTTCCTCTGGTACTTTTCAGAAGGTCCTTGAAAGGAAAAATTTTTGTCATTTTTACAAGGGCAAGCCACCATATGAAAATGTTTATTATAGCTTTTTCTTATTGTCGCTATTTAATATTCACTCATTTTTCTAACTTTAAAATCTTCATATTGTTGATAGTGCCTTCTAAAAAAAGAGTATGGGACATATTTCTTCAGTTGTGCTTCTAACCTATCTTTTTTCGAAACACGTCTTATATATACAATAAAATGATATAATAATACTCTTCTGATCTTCTTTATAGGGTAGACCTAATATCTTTTGTCTTTATATAATTATCTCGTTAAACTCATTATATGAATGTATTTAACTCCTAATTTATCGTTCCATAGAATGTTATTTTCTTGAAAATTATATATATTAAATTTTAAAACAGAGTTAACAATAAAGTTTAAATTTTTTTTTGAATTTTGATAAAATACATTGAAATTATTTTATAAATAAAATAAGGTGATTGTAAAGTTAATAATGGCACTTGGGAATTGGGAAGGGAGGAGGGGTATTTAATTATGCCTTGTGTTGGAGAGACAACGGAGAATAAGTAAATTGGTAATGACCAATGATTAGGTGATTAGCTTTTGGGTGATGTTCCTTCGCAAAGATGCGCAAAGAAAGAAAGCAGACATGTTAACGTTAAGAGTACAACACCAATGTGATATTATCATTGTGTTGTTACTTTGTTATTTCATTCACTTCCTCACTCTCCAAACAAACCCAATCATTTCTTTGCTTTATTACTCTAAAACCCCCTCCTCAACACACCAAATCATGTCATGCTAGACACACCCCAATCGCCCCCCCCTTTTTTTCCCCTCTTTGTTTTCCTGTTTTCCTGTTTTAGTTATGTGATTATCACCTAATTAATTAAGGCATTGGATTAGTTTCGTTTAAGTTAAAATTAGCAGCGCGTGAATTGGGAAATCCCGCTGATAAAGGGACAGCCTCCCAACAAAATAACAACTCCCAATGCTCACACTTGTCCGTTGCTCCACAGCTCATGCCTTCCTTATTCACAACTCTTTCCCTCGGGGATATGCATGTTTAAATCTTTTTTAAATAAGAAAAATTCCTGAAATGCTATTAATTTGAAAACAATAATTGTACTATCATAAATAATAGTGCATATTTAAATATATTTTCTTGACGACAATTTCACCTTGCTGCTAGCCACACAAAAAAAAAAAAAGCAATATCAGTTTTTTCACCATATAGATATCAGGGAGTCATAGTCAAAAAATGACAAGGCTATTTAGGGAAATAAGAATATCGTTATCATTATTGTTTTGGGGAAAAATTATATTACCGAAATTCTATTGTGGGCCCTAAGGCCTGCTATAAATGAGGATGCTTTCTCCACATGCTAAAGTCTCCTGCGAAAAAGCACTTCACTGCCTCCGACTCCCAAGCTTTTCTCTCTCACTTCGCTCCCACCATCTCTCTCATTTTGATTCTCTGGCTCAAAGCAGAAAACTGCCAAAAACTGTAACTTCGGTGGACACGGAAGATACGACCACTGACCCAGATCAATTTCGAACTCAAAAGCCGATCGCCTATCGCTTTAGATAACAATGGTCGACGTCGACCGGAGGATGACCGGTCTTAACCCGGCTCATGTTGCCGGCCTACGGCGACTCTCTGCCCGTGCTGCGTCCGTTCCGGCCACTTCCTCTTCCTCATCCTCCCTGCCTGCACGTAACGGCCTCCTGTCGTTCTCTTCTCTGGCAGATAAAGTCATGACTCACCTCCGCAGCTCAGGCATACAGGTTCAACCTGGTCTCTCCGATGCGGAGTTTGCTAGAGCAGAGGCTGAGTTCGGTTTCGCATTCCCACCGGACCTTCGAGCCGTTCTCGCCGCTGGCCTTCCCGTCGGCCCGGGATTCCCAGACTGGCGCTCCCCTGGTGCTCGACTCCACCTTCGTGCTTCGCTGGATTTGCCAATCGCTGCGATTTGTTTTCAAATTGCCAGGAATACTTTCTGGTCCAAGTCCTGGGGTCCGAGGCCGTGCGAACCGGAAAAGGCATTACGAGTCGCCAGGAATGCGCTCAAGCGAGCTCCTCTTTTGATTCCTATCTTCAACCATTGTTACATTCCTTGTAATCCCTCCCTGGCCGGGAATCCTATATTCTTCGTGGACGAGAATAGGATCTTCTGTTGCGGTTTGGATCTATCGGACTTCTTCGATCGCGAGTCTCTTTTCCAGAGCTCCGAATCCGATCTTATACTGAAGAAGCAGAGATCCGTTAGCGAGAAATCCGCGGGTTCGTCGACCAACTTCTCGAGGAGGAGCTTAGACACAGGAATCGTCGCAGGAGGAAGAACACCGAGGTGGGTCGAGTTTTGGAGCGATGCCGCCGTTGATCGGCGGCGTAGGAACTCATCGTCTTCGTCGACATCTTCGCCGGGGAGATTCTTCGAGATCCCCCGGTCAGTAGTCCCGAAATGGGTTGAGGAATACATAGGCCAAATCGGGTCGGTTTTGAGAGAAGGCGGTTGGAGCGAGTCGGATGTATCCGATATCGTGGAGGTATCTGCGGCAGGGTTCTTCGAAGGAGAGATGGTGATGTTGGATAATCAGGCGGTGCTGGATGCTCTGTTGCTGAAAGCGGATCGACTCTCGGACTCGCTCCGTAAAGCCGGGTGGAGCTCCGAGGAGGTGTCGGACGCTCTAGGATTCGACTTTCGACGGGAGAAGGAAAGGAAACCGGTTAAGAAGCTATCGCCTGAATTGGTGGAGAGGATCGGGAAACTTGCAGAGTCAGTTTCCGGTTCATAGCGTTTCTCATTTCCTTCTCTTTGTTCACTTAAAAGGGAAAAAAGAAATTGAATTTTAATTTTGGTAAAGACATTGGGGCGTGTTTTGTAAACAATGAATGAGGAATTGGGAAAGGTAAGCGTAAAAAGCTGTATTGTACTGTTACGGAACAACATGGAATATAGATCAAAGGGTTCATAATTAAATGTTTACATATATAAATAAAATAGTTTACATACTGTTTGTTTTGTACAGCGCCGACTGATGAGCAATTACCTCTTGTTTTCTGTCTCTTTTTTTACCGGTAAGAGCAATATTTATCTGCATCATTTATAAATTCAACAGTGCACGTGTGCACATGTGATATCGTTTTTAGTTTTATCTTTATATTTTTTATCTGCTGAAAGCATCTTTTCTTTTTCTTTTTTTGAAAAAAAAAGTTCAAGTGAATTGAATCTTGGGAGCTTGTGAGGATGAGGATATGTCGTCTTCAGATTCAGAAAATGCTTACAAAAATCTTATAAATCACTTACTAATAATATCTTCGTAAAAACAGTAAGATTCGAATTCACAAATTTAGAATTTGATGTTGAAGGCATCTTTTCATTCTTGAGGAGTGAGTATGAGTGCCCACCATTAAAGTCTACTCTGCTGTCGTTTTGCTAGCAAAGATATTATCTGTAATAGAGAGTATCTGGGTAAAAATAAAATTATAATTTTAAAAATATTTTTACAGTATAAATATATAAAGAAATTTGTCTCGATTTATAAAAAAATATTTTTTAAAAGTGATTATTGAGTCATTTAAAGTTTAAACACCTCTTGAGATCAATGTTTTAAAACCCGAACCGGAAGTCAAATCGGAAAGATCAACGGGTTATGGTTCAATCAGTCAGATCGGTCGGACTGGTGACGTAATAATTAATTTAAAAAAATATTATATACATATAATTAGTATATATGAAAAATATCAAATTATTAAATAATTTAGAAATGCATTTAAATAATCTAAAATTATAATGAAATCATTAAAAATGGACTAAAACCTTATATATTTAAATTTATGTATGTTTAAAATATTTAATGATATTACAAATTATCAATTCATTCAAATCAAAATATTTTTTTAAAAGATGGACCAAATATCGAAACAAAAAGACTAGCGACTCACGATTTTAACACCACAATATATGAACTTTTCAATGAAATAATACTCTATGGTTATAAATAGTCTAAAAATATATTAGGATATTTAAGGGGATCAATTTTTTTTATTTTTCTTCTATTTTTTTAAAAAATTTTAGTATTTTTTCAGTCAGGCTAAAAAACCGTCCGGTTTTCTGAAAATCGTTCTGGTTCCCGGTCCAACTCCGGTTTCCGGCTTAATAACGGCTCAACTCTTGTCCAATCCGGCTCAACTATGTGAACGGTTTTTTGGTCTAAACCGAGCCGTCAACAAGTCTGGGTGACGATTCAACCGGTCCGATCGTCCGGTCCGGTCCGGTTCTTTAATCATTGCTTGAGATGATGTCGATTAAAGAAGCTAGGGGAAACTAAAAAGCCTATTTTGTTGCAAAAAATGGAAAATAATTATTTTCCACCTTTGGCCAGAAAAGAATGAGTTGATTAAGATGGTGATAAGAGACGAAATGGACTTGCAAGAGGAGACGTATAGGAGAAAAAGGGCACTAGACGAGGGGCAGTGATCTCAAACAAACGCGCGCGCGCACTCCATCTTTTCTGAAATTGGGAAAAAATAATTCTAAATCATTCCTTTACCAAGATAAGCAAAGACAAGTAGGTTTTAGAGAATGGAAATTCTTTATTATCATGATAATAAAAATTTCCTGTTTGTTTATCTTGCCATTAAAAATTTTCTGTTTTTATTAAGTGTTAAATGAGACATTTTCAACGAAAGTATTGTTTTCTTCTAAACAAATAATTTTACAGCCCTTGTAGTTCTAATTTGGTGCAATTTGATTTTTATAATTTTAATTTAATTCAATTGTAATCCGGTCTTTTAAGTTTAATTGAATATAACTTAGTCCCTCTACTCATAGTTTAACCATTTAAATAATTGATTCCCAAATTTTTAAAAATAAAATTATATATTTTGTAATATTTAAGAACTAAAATTTTAAATGATTAAAATTATAGAGAATAAGTTGTATTAAATTAAATTATAGGGACTAAGTTACAATCAAATCATAACCACCATTACCAAAAGATTTATTTTCCTTTTCCTTTCATTTGATTTTCACACGTCAAAACAAATGATTTGGGATCAACTGAATTATTTATTTTATTTTAAAAAATAAAATGAAAGTATTGAACCACACGTAATTTACTTTGAGGCCATGATCGTTAGTCGTGAATAATCAATCATGTATAATCGGATTAATTATTTGCATAAAAAAACTAAACGTAGGTAATTTATTTCAGGAAAAATTAGAAAGGAGATAATATACAAGTGTAAATTAATTTCAATTTTATAACAATTTGTTTAATTTTTCCATATTTTATATCGAGGATGATTGGTGCTTTAATAAAGGGCGACAGATAGGGATATTTAATAATTCCCAAAAAAAAAAAAAACAGTTTGGAAGGGAGCGAAGCGAGGGGAAGGAACATGTCATGTGATTTGATGAGGGGGCCTCAAAAGGTTCCGTACAAGGAAGCTTCTCAGTCTTCCATTTCACATTTCCTAAAGCTCAATCATAAGTTTCGTTAGTCTCGTTTCAGTTTAGTTTCTAATACTACCTCCTGTTTTAATTATAAGAGTTGATTAACTAATTTGAGAAGATTAAAAAAATAAATTAAGTTAGTTATTTATAATAAATAAGTATTTTTTTTAAATATCATTACTAATCAAGTGTATTGGTTAGAACAACAATTATTAGAAGGACTACCTTGTAAAAAAATGTATAAATATGAGAAACAAAATAGATTGGGGTCTTATATTTAAAACCAGAATAAAAATCAAATAAAGTCTTATATTAAGTGCCGGCGGAGGTAGTATTTATTTTTATTTTGGTTTGGTTTAAAATTTTTGGTTCCTGAGATAAAAACTGAAACCAAAATAAAATTAAATTTCAGTGATTAAAATCACTTAATTTAAATTTTAGAAACCAAAACTAAAATGAAATCAAACTTTAGAAATCAAAACTATTGACTTTAAATTTCATAATCAAAATTAAAATGAGATCAAATTCTAGAGACTAAAAATGATACTCCTCCGGTCCTAATTATAAGACCCAATTGACTTATTTAAAGAGATTAAGGAAGTAAGTTAAGTTGGTTATTTATAATAAATAAGTGTTGTCATTCCTAAAATATCCTTGCTAATTAAGTATATTGGCTAAAACTATCATTATTAGAAAGATTATCTTGGAAAAAAAATGCATAAATATAAGAGACAAAATGGATTGGGTCTTATAATTAGGACCAAATAAAAAGTCAAATTGAGTCTTATAATAAGGACCGGAGGAGTATTAATCTTTTGTGGAGGCACTTACATTTTCTTTTTTACTTGCAAAGAAAATGAATGTGCTAATTGATTCACTAACTCAACTTAAGATCTTAATATTAGTTTTGATTTGTCACTACTCCTTCTCAACTGATTATAGAATTAGCCTCTCTCACACGCATGCAAGCGTGTGTATACACACACACATACGTGTTTATATATATATATATATATATATATATATAAACACACATACATAGAGAGGGGGGTTGTTTTGGAGGAGGAGGGATCAGGGAGGGAGCATGGGAGAGAAAGATGTGCATGGAATTGGGAGCATGTGAAGGACTGTAGCATTGGCACGCCCAAGAGGAGGCATGACCCATTCATTTTGAGTTGTTTCTTCCGCCCACTGCTTGTATTTGTCTCTTCTATTTCCCACTCTTCTCTCTCTTCTTTTATTCCGTTCCTTTTTTTTTTTTTATTATGAGCAAACAAATAACATGAAACCCCAATTAACTTTAACAATACTTCCTTTTAAAAATATATTTTACAAATTTTTCACTTTTGTTTTGAAAAAAAGAATTGCATAATAAAAAGGGTTAATATAACTTTTTAGTTCTTGAAATTTGGGTCTATTTTAATTTTAATCTCTCAAATTTTAAATTTATTGTTTTAGTGCCTGGAATTTAGTCTACTTTAAAACATTAATCCTAAAAAATGTGATGGTGTTAAAATTTATTGAAGTGTCAAACAGTAACGATAAAATGATGATATAGACTTAGTAGATGGAACTTAGCTAGATCTTATATAGATAACAGAAGAGTAAAAAAAAAATAGGTCCTCAAATCCCAACTATTTAGCCCCCCTTTTTTTTCTTCACTATTCGTTTCAAGAACTATTCACTGTGTTATATTCTATTATAGAAAAATGGCATTAAGGACTCACCTAAGAAATTAAATACAAATTTTTTTAAAAGCATTAAATTAATCTGAAGTTCTAATTGACCTTATTGTCAAAAATTCACTGGTTTAATTACTAAATTGCCCTCATATTTTTTTGTTTTAAGTATGCATTGACAACTGAAAGGACAATTATTAACACCTTAAGATACAATGCATTAAATCTTCGTGATGCGCTGAGAAAATGTGTTATTAATACCTATCATGTTAGTTGTTAATCATTGTACTTTAAGGTGTTAATGGTTGCCCTTTCGGCTATCAATTTATACTTAAAAAAATGAAGGCAATTTAGTAATTAAATAAGTAGAATATTTTGCAATGAGATCTTTTAGAACTTCAAATTAATTTGATGATTTCAAGAGACTTTTTATATTTAATTTTCTTGGTAATGACCTTTATGTAATTTTTGCTTTTATTATTCACACAGGATCCAACTAAATGTCATTTGACAAGTTAACATCATCACTTCTAACGTCATTGATGATACTTTAGCAGATTTTAATAATTATTATACCTTTAGGGATTAATATTTTAAGAGAGACTAAATTTTATGAACTAAAACCATTTATTTAAAATTGGAAGGATAAAAAACTAAAATAAATTTAAATTTTGGAGACAAAAAATTATATTAATTCTAATAAAAATTTGAATGTTCTCTCTCTGATTTGGTCCTATACAGTAAGAAAATTTATGTGTGTGTACGCTACCTTTCTCTCGCAAACGGAAAAAACCAAAAAGCAAAGAAAAAAAGAAGTTGCTTGAATTAAAAGCAGGTGCATTTAATGAGAGAACAGGTGGCATGAATCCAGATGGGAGAAACCTGACTTAGATCAT